CTTCCTCTAGGTAGCCCAGGCTAGCCTCTGAGTCATTGTGATTCAAAGTTGTTCTAAGACTACAGGATGATGCTCCAGAAGTGTGTTCCCTGCTCCAGCCCTAGAAGCAGTTATTTCTACAGAGTGCTGGCTTCTCTCACTACGTGGGTTTTACTCTGCTGGTGAGAGTTGCTCTTTTAGTACTTCTTGGCAGGTGCTCACTGCCTTTGCAGTGTTTAGAGTTTCAAAATGATGTAAATTGCCCGTACATAAGACCCTCAATACAATATTAACCACACATACACAGATCTGGTTGGCCTGGAACTCTCTGTGTAGACGAAGCTGGCCTCAACATGACAGGCTTTTTATTTTCATTTGGAGGGAACTAACATAGACACCTCAATCTGTACTGGTATAGGAATCTTGAAGGGTGTGGGGGGCCCAGTATGCTATGAACTCCCCATAGTTTTGTAGCCTAAAATGGTTTGTGTTTTGACTATGTGCAAGCTGAGATGCTTAATTACACAAATGTTTTTAGTGTTTTGTTTTGTTTTGGTGTGTGCCCAATGACATCTATTATTATTGTTATTGTTATTGTTATTATTATTATTATTATTATTATTATTATTATTATTTTGAGGGTTTTTTTTGAGGCAGAGTTTCTCTGTTGTCCATGCTGTCTTGGAACTCACTCTGTAGACCAGGCTGGCCTCAAACTCACAGATCTGCCTGCCTCTGCTTCCAAGCGCTGAGATTAAAGGCGTGCGCCACCACCATCCAACATCTCTTTCTTACATATACACATGCACATATACATGCACCTATGGACCTTTCCATTTCATTTCAGATGCAGCCTAAATCAACAGCTTTGGTCTAAACACAAGGTACACGAGTTATTTCTCGTTTTCTTCTGCTCATCCTCACAGGTCCAGTCTTTACTTTTCTGTCTGGAACTGGGGAAACTGACCCTCCACGTTTCGGTTTCTGCTTCTCAGTAGATTGCCAAGTCTGGGCAAGAAAGTGCAAGTGCAGCGAGAAGTTGAGATATACCTCCCATCCCCAACACCACCCCCAACACACACATACATACACACACACACACACACACACACACACACACACACACACACACACACACGCAGTTCAGGCAGTAACTTCTAAGTTGTAGCTACTGTATTCTGGTCACGTTTTCTTCTCCTTGCTCCATCAAGATTAGAGGCCACAGTGGCTATCAGATCTTTTCCATCTCTGTATGGCTCAGCACCTTTGGTATTATCCAAGTCCAGTATGACCCTCAACTGTGTGTAGTCCCTGAAAACACTCTAGTAAAGTGGATCCTTTAAAGTGACATTTTGTGTCCTTTGAGACTTGTTGGCAAGGGACCAGGCTTGGCTTCCTCTCCCTGCTTTCCTTGTGGAAACACACAGTGCTAGTTAGGAGTCCAAGAGTTAGGAAACCCAAAAGATGAAGGGACGGTGTGTTGGAGACTGATTTCTCCAGTGTCCAAAGGTTTGCATTCATTGTCTAATTTCCCACTTCCGGTTGATGCCTGTCTGACTCCCAATGAAATCAACCAAGATCCCAGCCGGGTACTTCTAACGACAGTCTCTCTAGGAGAATCTGCCACCGAGTTTTCAGGATTAGGAAGTGGTCCAGAATTCTCTTCCCAGGGCCTTTTCAGGATGCTGCGCTGAGAATCGCAGGAGTATTTTGTAAAGAAGCAGTCCTGGCTCATGCCTGCTGGCTTTGATTTCCACAGGATACGCCCCCGCCATTTCCATGACCGGCTTCATTATATTCTCCTTCTGATTAGCCTCCTTGCCAGAGATGGGACGGGGTTGTTTTATGCATTTTCCAACTTTGCTGGCACAGTGCAAAGCAGTAAACCCAAACAGATGGGGACAGGATGCGCTGTCAGTCATGGAGCCTGAGTTCCCTTTGGCTCTTTGCTTGCTTCCACATTTTAAGCTGGGTCCCGAATGACTCATCTTTCACTTGGGATCCTCGCTGCTGCTTAGTCGGCTCCATTTCTCCCCAGCCACCCAAGCGCCTGTGTTCCTGCATTTTCCCCCTCCTGAGCAGCCTCTGCCATAGTGAGTCCCTCACGACCGTTCCTTCCCTGAGCTTTCTGGAAAACTGAGGCAGGAGCGTCTGTGTACCCCTGACGTTGAGATGATAGCCAATCATGAACGAGAAACTGAAAAAGTGGGCTGCCAATTGGCTGCATAGGTAGAGGCACTTCCAAGCCTGCCAACCTGAGTTTGATCCCAGGACCCCACGGTGGAATGAGAGAACCCACTTCCCAGGGTTGTCTCCTGACTTCCGCACACGTGCTGTGGCACACAGCCTTACCCGCAGAGACACGCAATAGTAATAACACACCAGTGATCGAGGAATTGGAGAAGCAGCCGATGTGGCCCAAGTCCCCACATTACCCCTTGTTATGCGGACGTGAGACTATGCTGTGGTACGGACAGAAACAGCCTGCAGCCTGGATTGCTTTCTGTGGGGACACCCCACCGGAAACACTGAAGCATCGTCCAACCTGAACTCACGATTTGTATTTTCATGAAAACCATGTGAGTCTTTAGTCCGCTCTGTTTCATAACGGGAGCTCTTATTTCCTCTTCTAATACGTTTCATAATCTCCACAAGTTCCAAAAGTTTGGAATTCTAGAAAATTCTAATAACTTCTCATTCCAATGATTTTTAAGTGTATATGTCTAATTTTTTTTTTGCATACAGTTTGGAGAATAATTTTACCAGTGTAAAGATTAAATCCAGATTTCCCCGGTTTTAAGGTGTAGGCACAAATGCACTGTTGGCTTTTTCTTTTTTCCTATGTTTGTCCTCGCTAGAGTTTTTGTCGGATCTACAGACACTCTTAGTTTCACCAGCGAGCCATCTGTGTGTGCCTGAGCTGTTTGGTCTTAGACACTATTTCTCCAAATGCCCTGCCAACGGCTCTTTTTCCCCGTGGCTGGCTACCTTCCCTTAGCAACGCTGATTATTCTCCTGCTTCCTTTTCCCATCTGCACACGCACGCAGGCTCTTCCAGTTCTTTTATCTCCTGAAATACGCTACAAGATAACTAGTTCAACACTCAGATCCTCACAACTACATGCATGCTATTCTTTTCTGGGCCTTGCAGTAAATTTAGATTACTGTTTCATTTCTGTACCAACTTCTGTTTTTCCTTGGTTTTTGTCATCATGTTAACTTGCCAGGTCTCGCCCAACCTGTTGATCAGCCCTGAATAGGGGAGTGAGGACTGAGAAATAATAGATAGGAAACACAGAGACATAGACATAAAAGAAAAAGACAGAGACACAGGATAGCTTTGGGAGGGATCTGAGTCAATACCACAGCAGCCCCAAGTTTATTTCTCAGGGCCCTTTTATATCCAAAGCAAGGGGGGCAAAAGACCTCCCCCTCTCAAGGACACTATGGTTCAAGGTACAAATAAGTGTAAAGACCTCCTTAATTTTCAAGACACCTGATAACCATGACTTTAGCCAAACATCCTGTTACCCAATCTTGATAAGTTAGACATCTAATAGCCATGCCTTTGGCCAAACAGCCTGTTATCCAGCCTTAAAGAGTAAAGACATGCTTGAACTCTCTGACCTTGAGTCAAGAGGGAATCAAGGCATAAAGCCGGAATCTTGTGGGCTCCCACATTAACTCAGCTGTGGAGCGTTTACCCACCACCCCCACAGTTCCCCAGAGTTTTCTTGAGTGCAAGCAGCAGGAAATATTAGATAGAAAGATTTATAGTGGAGAATCTTGCGGAGATAAACAGATAGAAAATAAAGGACAGCCTCAAGAGGGCCTGGAACCTATTTCAACGGCCCCGACTGTCTCTGCCCCAGGGTTTTTATAGAGACACCAAGGGGTGGAGCAAAAGACCTCCTCCCCCAGCACAGCCAAGTGCAGACCATCTCAGACACCTGCACTCAGGCCCGTGGTCCTGATCATCCTCTCTTCGGACCTGCTGGGTAAAGCCACGAGGAACCCCAGAACGGGCTCCCACAGGTCCCCCCTTCTTAATATATAAAAAAAATAACTATTAATGGCTTATAGCAATCTCCATAACTGTTACACCTCCCAATATGGAAGTAGAGGATGATAAAGATGGCATTTCTCTTTTGAATTAGGTCCAAGGTGACCACAGCAGTCTTAGCTGCCTCAAGCCCTTTCTAAACCAAAAACTCTTAAGGCGACTACAAACTTAAAGAATCCCTTAGCTTCATCATTACCACTAACAGGTTAACATAAATATTGCTATACATAGTCACAATTCTCTCAATCTTACAACTCAAAGCAAACTTAACAGTATCATTTGAATTAGCATATATGGTGCTATATATAGTCAACAATTTTCTCCGTCTTACAACTTTAACTCAATCATTTGAATTGTCTTGTTAACAGAACATAGGAAAAACTTCGATGTATTCACATCAAGCTTAAACATTTCCTTAACTCCACAAAACCAGGGTGCATTAATATCAATAGGTTTCTGTGAACATAATTCAATCTCATAACTCTTCCTTTTCTTCATAATTTTTTTAAACAAAAACTCAAACCTAGTTAGAGGAACCCAAACTTATACAATTCCTACAAACCCATAATTGAAAAGCAATATTTTCAATCTAACCATTATCACTTTGAAAACTTTTAGCAAAACATCCAAAAGAGTTTTATAAAACTCTTTACACTTTAAATTTTAGTATACCCATTTGCATTTCTTACTAACAAAACATTAATCCACTCAAATAAGAAAATGTTTTTTAAATTACATAGACTCTCCCTTTTCTTTGTAACTTTTTTTTTTTTCAAACTGGCATCATTTGTTTATTTCTTGGCTTGTGAATGTCCTCAATTTGTTGATGTAGCAAACGAATTTCAACTCTGCTATGCAAATGACAGAAGGAATCTGCTCAGCAATTAACTTTAGAGTTCAAGTTCATACAGGCAACATGCTATATGTGGAAAAACGACTAACTGAACTACAGGTATTGAATACTGAAAAAATGAACAGTTTATTATAATTTATTCTATTTAACAATCTAGGAAGTTCGCAGCCATCAGCAGCTCCAGTGCAATTTCAGGTGCAATCGGGAATTCAGGAATTTCGGTGGAGCTGTTAGTGCAGCGGACCTTGTAGGTAAAATACATGCATACTTTCGATAGCACGTGCAAAGGGATCTCTCTGAAATTGACCTCATTGGTTTCATTCTCAGCAAACTGCCCTGGTCCACTCAACATGGCCTTTATTGTTCCTGATGTTAACGCATGTTCTCTTTTTACAATAAATTCATGCCCATCAGAAGATATTAATTTGACATACATGGCATCAGGGCCTTCACAGTCACCATAGGATTTCTCCTCTCCATCCATTATGTTTTTATAAAATTCTACTTGATCCCACAGGAACTTTAGTAGTTTCTAGCCAGTCCCGCAGCCACCGTGCCGTGTCCCCACGTACCGCCACCTCTTTGTAACTTTTTAAGCAAAGTCTCAAGCCTAGTTAGAAAACCCAAACTTTTCCATTTAAACAGTTCCATTTGTAACACAAAACCAGTTCCTTAAGTAATTCCATTTTTACATAAACAGTTCCACAAAACAATTCATGAATCACAAGTTAATAAAGCATATATGCATACACAAAACTGCATCTTGATTCTAGGTAGAAATAAATTTCTTCATTTAACCCAATTCCAGAAAACTGTTCCTAGGTCATTACTCAAAATTGTCCCATTGCAATGAAATCTCTATTGTTCATTTCATTTAAGTACCAAAATTCAAATGATAAATTTTGGTACTAGCCTTCCAAATATGAAGAAATCCATAACCAAAATCCTTTTGTAATTTTATCTCATTTTAAGTTCAAAAAGTTCAAACAAGAAATAAATTCTGGTATCAGGCTTTCACCTCCAAATATGAAGAGACGTTTTTTAACCAAAACTTTTTGCAGTTAATAATTTTTGTTCAAACAAGCATCTCTGAACTTTTATTCTCAAGCCAGTGACCTTTTTAGGTACAGTAGTATTTTAACCCGCACTGTTTTTGATGTTAGCTCAGGTTTTTCTATGTTGCGTCAATTTTCCATGGATCTCAGCTGCGGATGCCTTGCGCTAGTTCTGGCATCCACCATTCTTAGCTTCTTAGCGGCTTCTGGAGCTTTTGAAACCATTCAGACTGCCTACTTTGCAGTCTACTAGGACACTGCCTTCTGTGTCTCAGGTTCTTTCACCATATACATTAATAGACTCACACTTAACGTTCACAATTTTTCACAAACTCACATATAACATATTTTGCCTTGCAAAGCATTTAGACTCACATTCAACATTTACACATTTTTACAAACTCACATATAATGTATTAACATCTACTTATTTATACTCCTTAAACTATAGAACTACTTTAGCAAATATATTTCTTTTTTTTTTTTTTTTTTCGAGACAGGGTTTCTCTGTGTAGCTTTGCGCCTTTTCCTGGAACTCACTTGGTAGCCCAGGCTGGCCTCGAACTCACAGAGATCCGCCTGGCTCTGCCTCCCGAGTGCTGGGATTAAAGGCGTGCGCCACCACCGCCCGGCGCAAATATATTTCTTATTATTCATTCCATCTTATTCTTATTTAAACTTACATTTACAACTAGCATCTTACAAGCTTATTACTACATGTCTTAAGACTACCTTAGATACTTCTTGCTAGCTTATATTTTTAAAGGAACTCTATAGATCTATTTTACAAACTTATATAGAGCTACCATTAGCATATATTTAACTTAGCAAACACCTAAAGATTTCTTAACACAGATCTAACAAGACAGTATTTTTACAAACTTACATATCTTATTTTCATCTTTTTCTACCTCTTACTCTTAATTATTGTCACCATCTCTATTAGAAAGATTCTCTTAACTAGACAGGAAGTACGTATATCATTTCTAGAGTTTAGAGTTCATAGTTAGCTTTGTTATAAAGCACTGGGATTTAGTGAGTGTTGTCATTATAGAGTTGTGATACTTGTTGCTAGGGGATTGTAACATTCTCTGGACGAAGCCACATCCCAAAGTTCTCTCAGCCTTTCGGACCGGCAGAGATGCATTGTCAGCAGTAGACAGTCTTTAACTAGAGGCTGTCCCTTCACCCAAATTCATAGTAGCTCCCCTAAGTGCTTCAATTCAGACAAACGTTTCTATAACAACAGTATTTTTGGTTTGTTCTACCAAAAAACTTCACTTCACGCTGAGGGTGAAATTACTGTATTTAGCTGCTGTAAAGCTCTTCGCCAAATACTGCACAGCTATTAGGTGATATTTTAAGGATTTTAAAGTGATTTGTTTGCTCTTATAGGTAGCTTTTTGTCTTCCAACTACCGTAAAAACTTTGCACAGCTATTAGGGTAAATAAGGCATTTTACCAATGGAGCCCCAAACCGTGAACACCTAGTTCCATATCCTTTCAATTTTTCCAATGGAACTGACACTTAAACTCTTAGACAATTTTCCTCCTTGTTCTTTTAAAAGCTGTATTTTAATTTTAGAGCTGACAAAAGTGTTTCAGGACAATGTCGCCATCTTTAGCAGAAAAACTATGTTTCCCAGAATGCATTTCCCTTATATCAGTCCATAATAATATCAGTCCCTTATATCATTTCCCATATTTCTTTTCAGGTCTGAGAGTCAACTGGTGCTCTTTTACCAGACTTGCCTGGGAGGTTTGAACAAAGTTTCTTGCCTTTGCAACGGGAGATTTGAACAAGCACTTTACATTTTCAGCTATGGGACATTGGGAGGTTTCTGGTCTCTCCTCAGCTGGCTTCAACAGGTGTCCCTCCTTCATTTGACACTGGCCCCGGATCAGAACTGCACCTGCCTCGTTAGCGCGAATTGAGGCTGACATTTCTGATAGCAACTTTCCTCCGGGCTTGTATTTGTTTTAGCCAGTCAGTTTCCATAGCTCTTTTAGAGAGATTTTCTCCCCAAATTTTCCAAGAAAAGCTTTATAGTTTAAGAGAAAGATCCCCCCCCTCCAAGAGAGAGACCAACTTTTCCCAAAACTTCTGAACTTTAAACTTTTTGGCTTTTTACAACCCCATTTTTGCCTTAGGGAGAAAACACTTTCTCCTGCCGCTTGAACTTAGCATTTCAGCTGTCCCCAGGTCAAAAGCTTCCATAGGAAACTTTCTCTTCTCCATAAGCTCAGAGCTTTTTTACTACCCGGAAAGCCCAAAGAAAGATTTTTTCCCCCAGTTTGCGTTTATAGCTCCCAAAGTGAGAAAATTGAAGAGTTTTTCTGTCTAGTTGTCTTACTTATTTTTTTCTACACAATCTTACACTTCTAAGTTTTTCCTAAACTATATTACTACCCTATACCTTATATTTATTTTTCACAGATAGAAATTGAGAAAGGGATAGAAGATAGAAAATTTTGACAGAAGAGAATTTCGCTGCAGCATCGGACATCCTTCCAGTCCGCTTTCCTTTTCTCTTGAGGATAAAACCCCTGCCTCTCAATAATATATATAAAATATATATTTTCCATAACACCGGCATGCCTTTCCACTGGCAGGGCTGACTCACCACTTTCACCAAAAACTCTGTAATAAAACTATTATTTTCCTTTATCTTTAGTCCCTGTTCATTTTTCTTTAGTCTCCCCTTTTTTGTCCCCCCCTTTTTTCCTTTAGTCCCTTTTTTCTTTTTTCTTTAGTCCCTGTTCATGGCACCATTCTGTGGAGCATTTACCCACCACTCCCACAGTTCCCCAGAGTTTTCTTGAGTGCGAGCCGCAGGAAATATTAGATAGTGGAGAATCTTGCGGAGATAAACAGATAGAAAATAAAGGACAGCCTCGAGAGGGCCTGGAACATAGGCCCCGACTGTCTCTGCCCCAGGGTTTTTATAGAGACACCAAGGGGTGGAGCAAAAGACCTCCTCCCCCAGCACAGCCAAGTGCAGACCATCTCAGACACCTGCACTCAGGCCCGTGGTCCTGATCATGCTCTATGCAGACCTGCTGGGTAAAGCCTCGAGGAACCCGAGAACGAGCTTCCACACTCAGCTCCAGTTTTTCACAGGCTGTCTTGTCTTTCCTTGGGCTTCTGATCCATTGCTTTTCTAGAGCAGTGTCTGTGGTCCCACTGATGTACAGGGCTCTGTACCTGTGCACAGCCAACATCCTAACCCCTCTTGACTCCCTCCTTGATCCTTTACTGGTTTAGTCTTTGGGACAGAAATTAATGTCTGGGCGTCACTTGATACGTTTTAAGGACAATGACCATTGTGTTGAGGGTGTGCATGTTTCGAAAAGTCCTTCTTATGTCCTCACAGCTGATCTACAGTTGGGCTTGGTGTATGATTCTAAGATGGAAAACGTTGTCCCTTAGAATCTCAAAAGCATTGTTCCATTCCTTCAGGCCTTTACCAAGGCTCCCATGATAAAGTTATGTGGTCCTTCCAGGTCTTACTTTGTGCTCTCACTCTCTCGCTCTCCCTCCCTCTCCCTTCCCTTCCCACTTCAAGTGTGTACATATGTGTGTGCATGGGTGTACTAGAATATGCATGAGCATACGGAGGTCAAAGGCCAACTTTGAGTCTCTTCTTTCTCTCTCCAACTTTTTTTTTTTTTTTTTTTGAGACAAGGCCTGTCAATGGACTGGAAACTCACCATTTTGGCTAGACGGGCTATCCAGCAAGCTCCCATGATCCACCTCTGCCTCCCCATTGCTGGGGCTACAGTTGCACACTGTCACACCTGGCTTTTACATGACTTCTGGGGACTGAACTCAGGTCCTAGTGCTTGCAAACACTCTACCCACTAAGCTGTCTCTTCAGCCCAATTTTCTATCTTCTACTTGTTAACACTGGAAACTCTTGATAATGCTCAGATGTGATTATACTGTCTGACTGCTTGAAAGCTTGGTTGGATCTATTTTATTTTTTGAAATTAAAATATAATTACATCTTTCCCCCTCCTGTTTCTTCCCTCCAACCCTTCCCATGTGTCCCCATTTGTTCTGTCTCAAATTCATGTGGCCTCTTTTCCCTTTAACTGTTGTCCTTCTCTTTCTTTCTCTCTCCTAAATATAAATACAACCTGCTCAGTTTGTATAAATGTTACTTATATGTATATGATTTCAGGGCTGACCATTAGATATTGCTTATCCAGACCATCTCTCCCACTCTTAGCATTCTTGGTTGCCTATAGTACTTTGACTAGGGTTGGGGCATATTGTAGCTTCCCTGATCCCCTCCCTCCATTTCCTGCATTGACAATGGAACTCCAAAGTTTTAGAGGAAAGAATGAAGAAGTTCACTGGATTCTTCCTGTACTCTGTAAGTCCAGAGATCCTAAGACAAAGAATTGGAGGGCAGAAGACCAAACTCCAATGAAAGTGAACCAGAGTCCAAGCAGACTGTGACAGCTCATCCAAATGAGGACTTACTCAATTATCTTCCTTCCTTCCTTGATTC